GCACTCTATGTAGAGGTCCAGTCTGTCATTTTGACCGTCAGGAGTTCTTCTTCTTGTAGTGTTGGTAGGAGGGTTCCTGTGGGTCAGTGCACTGTTCAGTGGTGTGTTGAAAATATTCTTTGAGTCGGAGACAACGAAAGTAGGTTTCAGTCTGCATCTGAAGAAGTGAGGTTTTTCACCCACAAAAGCTTATGCCCAAATACATCTGTTAGTCTGTATCCACAAAAACAACAAGAAGTCCGGTGGCACCTTAAAGACTAACACGGCTACCCTCTGATACTGGACACCATGCAAGAAATTAAAAGGTACAGTGACTAGAGTGAAATCCTTGCAAGCTGCATGGACACTTTTCAAAGACACCATAATAGAGGCCCAACTTAAATGTATACCCCAAATTAAAAAAACACAGTAAAAGAACTAAAAAAGAGCCATGGTGGCTTAACAACCATGTAAAAGAAGCAGTGAGAGATAAAAAGGCATCTTTTAAAAAGTGGAAGTCAGATCCTAGTGGGGTAAATAGAAAGGAGCTTAAACACTGCCAAATTAAGTGTAAAAATGTAATAAGAAAAGCCAAAAAATGAGTGAAGAACAGCTAGCCAAAAACTCAAAAGGTAATAACAAAATGTTTAAGTACATCAGAAGCAGGAAGCCTGCTAAACAACCAGTGGGAACCCAGGACGATCAAGATACAAAAGGAGCACTTAAAGACGATAAAGTCATTGCGGAGAAACTAAATGAATTCTTTGCTTCGGGTCTTCACGGCTGAGGATGTTAGGGAGTATCCCAAACCCGAGCCGTCCTTTGTAGGTGACAAATTTGAGGAATTGTCACAGATTGAAGTGTCACTAGAGGAGGTTTTGGAATTAATTGATAAACTTAACAGTAACAAGTCACAGGGACCAGATGGCATTCACCCAAGAGTTCTGAAAGAACTCAAAAATGTGAAATTGCAGAACTATTAACTATGGTTTGTAACCTGTCCTTTAAATCAGCTTCTGTACCCAATGACTGGAAGATAGCTAATGTAACGCCAATATTTAAAAAGGGCTCTAGAGGTGATCCCGGCAATTACAGACTAACGTCAGTACCGGGCAAATTAGTTGAAACAATAGTAAAGAATAAAATTGTCAGACACAGAACATAAATTGTTGGGCAAAAGTCAACATAGTTTCTGTAAAGGGAAATTATGTCTTACTAATCTATTAGAGTTCTTTGAAGGGGTCAACAAACATGTGGACAAGGGGGATCCAGTGGACATAGTGTACTTAGATTTCCAGAAAGCCTTTGACAAGGTCCCACACCAAAGGCTCTTACGTAAATTAAGTTGTCATGGGATAAGAGGGAAGATCCTTTCATGGATTGAGAACTGGTTAAAAGACAGGGAACAAAGGGTAGGAATAAATGGTACATTTTCAGAACGGAGAGGGGTAACTAGTGGTGTTCCCCAAGGGTCAGTCCTAGGACCAATCCTGTTCAACTTATTCATAAATGACCCGGAGAAAGGGGTAAACAGTGAGGTGGCAAAGTTTGCAGATGATACTAAACTGCTCAAGATAGTTAAGACTAAAGCAGACTGTGAAGAACTTCAAAAAAGATGTCACAAAACTAAGTGATTGGGCAACAAAATGGCAAATGAAATTTAATGTGGATAAATGTACAGTAATGCACATTAGAAAAAATAACCTCAGCTATACATGTTATACCAATAAAAACTAGCAGGATCTTATTAAAGGGGACAAGATAAAGATGCCACATTTATTATGATAATTTGATTTATGACCAATAAATAATATCTTAATCCTTATACACACACATTATACCGAATACCTATACACACACACACACACACACACATTTACACACACACACACACACATCCATCAGATGTTCTGCAGCTGCTGCATAGTTACCAGTCCTGCTTGAGTCTGTGGCTTGAGTTTGCAGCTTGGGTTCGTAGCTTGTGGCGGCTAACTGGCCAGGAAAGCCGGGCACAAGGACGAGCTGGGTCTCTGTTGGGCATGCACCGATGCCCTTCCATGTTGGCAGCAGAATGTTACCCTCCTCCAAAGTTTTCCATCTCACCCATCCTTTTTGTAGGCTTTAGTTTGAATCCAGAGTCTATAGGTCTTGCTGTGTCAAGCTGCCTCTGGGTTTGGTGATTGATCACCCGTCAATTGCAGACATGACTTTCAGCCTCGGACCGGGCTTTGATCTTCCTTCTATTGTACCTTTTCTTTTTAGGGTGGATTCTTTTTACTTTGTTAGGGCTCTTGTCTGCATCTTCAGCCATTGGTGTTTGAACTCTATTTAATCAGGACAGGCTGGGGCTGGAGCTTGATTCCATCATCCATACATACCTCATTCACACATTTAAACTAAACTAATAAGATTACAGCAGGGTTTGCAAAAATGAAGGTTGCAGCAAGCCCTTACAAAATGGAGTAAGCGTTTTAAAATGGGGTTTGAATTACAATATGGCAAACAGTGAACAGAAGTTACACTGTAGGCAAGTGTAATAAATGGTGAACAGAAATTACAATACTGAAACAGTGCAAGTCTCAGTGATTTAAGCAGGAATTGGATTGATAGTGAAACTTACAAAGGCAGCTGACTGAACAGCTTGCATCTGAAGAAGTGAGGTTCTTACCCACGAAAGCTTATGCTCCCAATACTTCTGTTAGTCTCAAAGGTGCCACAGGACCCTCTGTTGCTTTTTACAGATTCAGACTAACACGGCTACCCCTCTGATACTTGACTGAACAGCTATGGCTCTTAACAAGCATCTTAACTGTTAATTAGCCAGTTATTGGGGTAACTGGTTTTATGAATGAATATTGTTTCATTCATAAAACTTTACTTATGAAGTTACATTAATAAAGTAAACAATTAAAAACAATTTCATTCATGAGTCCTACATACATACAATATGATGGGGGCTAATTTAGCTACAACTAATCAAGAAAGAGATCTTCGAGTTATCATGGATAGTTCTCTGAAGACGTCCACGCAGTGTGCAGCGGCAGTCAAAAAAGCAAACAGGATGTTAGGAATCATTTAAACAAGGGATAGAGAATAAGACGGAGAATATCTTATTGCCCTTATATAAATCAATGGTATGCCCACATCTTGAATACTGCGTACAGATGTGGTCTCCGCATCTCAAAAAAAAGATACTGGCATTAGAAAAGGTTCAGAGAAGGGCAACTAAAATGAATAGGGGTTTGGAACAGGTCCCATATATGAGGAGAGATTAAAGAGGCTAGGACTTTTCAGCTTGGAAAGGAGGAGACTAAGGCCTGGTCTACACTACGGGATTAATTCGGATTTAGCAGCGTTAATTCGAATTAACCCTTCACCCGTCCACACAACAGAGCCATTTAGTTCGAATTAAAGGGCGCTTTAAATCGATTTCTGTACTCCACCTCGACGAGCGGAGTAGCGCCAAAATCGATTTTGTTAATTCGAATTAGGGTTAGTGTGGCCGCACACCACCGAATTAATATGATTAAAATAAATGGGGTAGTGTGGCTGCACACCACCGAATTAATGTGGTTAAAAACCGAATTAATGTGCTTAGTGTGGCCGCGCACAATCGAATTTATACAACCTGTTTCCCAAATTCGAATTATCTAAATTCGGATTAATCCCGTAGTGTAGACATACCCTAAGGGGGCATATGATAGAGGTATATAAAATCATGAGTGGTGTGGAGAAAGTGAATAAGGAAAAGTGATTTACTTGTTCCCATAATATAAGAACTAGGGGCCACCAAATGAAATTAATGGGCAGCAGGTTTAAAACAAATAAAAGGAAGTAGTTCTTCACACAGCACACAGTCAGCCTGTGGAACTCCTTGCCTGAGAAGGCTGTGAAGGCTAGGACTAACAGGGTTTAAAAGAGAACTAGATAAATTCATGGAGGTTAAGTCCATTAATGGCTATTAGCCAGGATGGGTAAGGAATGGTGTCCCTAGCCTCTGTTTGTCAGAGGGTGGAGATGGATGGCAGAAGAGAGATCACTTATGTTCTTGACAGTTTTGTATTTTTTTGTCTGATTTTGTAAGCAAGTAGTTTTTAAGTGAGGTGAAACTTGGGGTATGCAAGACAAATCAGACTCCTTAAAGGAGTACGATAGTCTGGAATGGTTGAGAGCCACTGCTCTAGCCCATTCACTATTTTATATACCTTTATCACATCCCCTCGTTGTCTGAATAGTCCTGATGGTTTTTCACATTCCCTCATTTTTGTCACCCATCTCAGAACATCCTCTGTATTTGCTTTATCTTTTTTGAAGGCAGCGTGCCGCCAGCAGCAGCACAGAAGGGTGGCAATACCATACCGTGCTATCCTTACTTCTGCACTGCTGCCTTCAGAGCTGGGCAGCCAGAGAGTGGCAGCTGTTGACTGAGGGCCCAGCTTTGCAGACAGCAATGCAGAAGTAAGGGTGGCAATATCATACCATGCCATCCTTACTTCTGCACTGCTGCTGGCGGCAGCTCTGCCTTCAGAGCTGGGCTCCTGGCCAGCAGCCGCCACTCTCCAGCTCTGAAGGCAGTGCTGCCGCCAGCAGCAGCACAGAAGTAAGGGTAGCAGTACCACAACCCCCCCCTTCTGCACCTCTCCCAAACACACAATAACCTTGCGCGCCCCCCCCCACTCCTTTTTGGGTCAGGACCCCTACAATTACAACACTGAAATTTCAGATTTAAATAGCTGAAATCATGAATTTTACAATTTTTAAAATCCTATGACTGTGAAACTGACCAAAATGGACTGTGAATTTGGTAGGGCCCTACTTATGCATACTAACATTTTGTTTTCTCTTTTGACTGCTGCACATTGAGCAGGGTTTTTTGAGCTGTCTAGAGGGATGGATGGATTCGTTTCACCTTCTGTTTGACATCCACCTGCCCATAGCATTGTAAGCCTGTCCTAGCAAGAGAGAATAGTCTGTCTAGATCCGCCCAGAAAAGCCTCATCTTTCTATCTATGCTTTAATAGGTCATTGTGGAAAAGGTCTCAGGCTCTCAGATTGTTGACATTGATAAGAGGAAGTATCTGGTTCCGTCTGACATCACTGTGGCCCAATTCATGTGGATCATCAGGAAGAGGATTCAACTGCCATCTGAGAAAGCGATATTCCTCTTTGTAGACAAGACTGTCCCACAGTCCAGGTGAGAGGCCATTAGACTGGAATTTGTGTGCATTTCACTAAAGATACATAAGCTCTGTGGTGCATACCAGTAAGATATTTATAACTGGTACTCCATACCAGAAAGACACAGGAGGCCACCGGGTGGCCCCATGCCAGCAGCTCCGCTGGCGCAGCTGTACCACCCCCCAGCCCCACCCCCAGCCCTTCCATGCAGCCATGTCTCCTGTCTGGGGTCTGTACAGCAGCCCCATCAGAGGACAGGGCTGTGGGTGGTACAACTGCGCCGGAAGAGTGGCCCCACGTTCTGCTCTTTTTGCTGCTGCAGTTCCAGAGAGCCCTGTGGTTCAGAAGTCTCTGGTACAGTAGGAGGAGGACAGAGCCCCTCCCCCCCCCCCCCAGGTAACGTGGGATGGATCATGGGGAGGGGACAGGGAGAGCGCAGGGGCCCCGAGCTGGAAGGGGGGAGAAAGTCATGTGGGGGAGGTCACATGTTCCCCCTTTGTGTCCCTCCATGAGTGCAGCATACCAGTAAGAAATTAATTCTGCTTGCACCACTGCATAAGCCTGATGGACCGCATTCTGCTATGATGTTAGTGTTAACTCCTCCATATGATATACTGAGGAGCAGCTCACTGAGGAAGTAAAGGAAGAATGGTTTGCTATTTTACTATCATTGCTCTCATTTTTCTCATTTTATTTAAATGCTGGCAAAATACAAAACCCCAGCTTATTTATAAGAATAAGCTGGAAGAAAAGATGATTGTAAAGCAACTCAGTTGTGACATGCCTCAGGGAAGGATGGTGGGGAAGGTTATTGAGATGCCATGTAGGAGTCTGAGACATAGATGGTGAACTTCTTGCCAAGAAAGCAAGTTTAACAAAGTTAAACTTTCAGCAAGAGTTCAGGAATCATTTTAGTATCCAGCGGAGAGAGTCACTAAAATCCTCTTAGACTATAATTTCTTTGGGGCAAGTACTGTGCTTACTCTATGTTCTCCACAGCACCAAGCATGATACCAACAGTCAAAGTTCCATTGAGAATGTTAAGGTTGCATGATTAAATGCTCCAAAGTGAATACCATAGTCAGGATTCTTGGAACAACCCTTAAATCTGCCCCCTGGTATGTATGACTAATCAGATAGCCACCTACTTTCTTAAATAATACAGTACTGAATTATAATCTTGTAGGATGCAAAGTGAATGAAGGGAATGGCCCCTTGTCTTATTCACTATGCATTTTATATAGAAATAAATTTTATTGGCTGGCTGGTGTACACAGAACAATACATTGTAGTAGCAGACACTACATAGGCACCAAAGGTTGTAGCAGAAGCTATACTGCGTTATTTGAGAAACAGCATGTAATAATGGCAGAGATAAGGCATTACTTGATGTTTGAATGCTTAAAACCATGCAACCTTAATGGTCTCTTCAGAGAATCTGCAAAGGATTTTAAAAAATTGCATGTTGTGGGTCCCCCCTTTTGCTGCTTTATTGTGTATGAGGCCTGAAAGGGGATTTTTTTTTTCCTTCCTGCTTGGTTACTCAAGTCTGATCTTCCTGGTATTGCAGTAACACCTCTTTGGGTGTGTATCTCAAATGTGAGTTGTGAACTTTTACATGTTAACTAGATGGACAGGAATGTTGACTCTTTAACAAAGGCATCTTTTTGCCCAAACATTAACAAAAAACAAGGTTTAACTAGAGGGTCAGACACTTCCTTGCTTCTGTAGGTTGAGCTCATTGCACATAGCAGGGGGCTCCTTGTATTCCTCTGTTTCCCCACATGCTTCCTCTGTGCCACCCCGCTACTCCTCTGTTTAAAGGACTCACTGCAACCCACCCCCTGTGATGGCCCCAGCATCTTCACCCTTACCTTAGGGATGAAGTCTTTCTTGAGTCCCTGTAGCCAGCAGCATCATCCTTACTTCCCTAGCTCCAGGGTATGTCTACACTACAGGATTAATCCGAATTTAGATAATTCGAATTTGGGAAACAGGTTGTATAAATTCGATTGTGCGCGGCCACACTAAGCACCTTAATTCGGTTTTTAACCACATTAATTCGGTGGTGTGCGGCCACACTACCCCATTAACTTAAACACAGTAATTCGGTGGTGTGCGGCCACACTAACCCTAATTCGAATTAACAAAATCGATTTAGGCTCTACTCCGTTCGTCGAGGTGGAGTACAGAAATCGATTTAAAGGGCCCTTTAATTCGAATTAACTGGCTCTGTAGTGTGGACGGGTGAAGGGTTAATTCGGATTAACGCTGCTAAATCCGAATTAATCCCGTAGTGTAGACCAGGCCCCAGTTAGCAACTGGTCTGCTCTGCTCTGTCCAGCAGCTCCTTTTATATGAGTCTGCTGGGATCTGATTGGCTGCTTCCCTGCAGTCTCTCTCTGCAGCCTGGAGGACTCACCTCTACTGCTCTTTCTTGGGACGGGGTGCGGTAGAGCTGTGAGGCCTCCAGCAGGGGGTCTCAGAGCCTGGTACATCCCATCACATCCCCTTATTCACATCTCCCCCCATGCCAGGGTTCCAATTCTCCCCCCATGCCAGGGGCTTTGTGTGCACCCCTACTACCTCCCCATTCTTCCTTTCCCTCCACTATTCTTCTTTTCTTTTCTTTCTTTTTCTGAGTGTCAACATTTCGAAACTATTGGGAGGATGGGCAGAGTTAAAATGAGCAGTGTCGTGGTCAAAGACCCCCACGCAGTCATTTTAGTTCAAAGACTCAAGCCTGAGGCCAGTTTATTGACATACAAACCAGTGCACTGGGGTGTAGTCCGGAGACCAACACCCCGAGCCCTACACGCAGGCGGGCTTTTATTTCATTAAACCACAAGCAAGGTACAAACAATACGTCATGAGTTAAGAAATTGGGGGTTAGTCACAAGCTGGGCATGGGTTGATCACGAGCTGATCATGAGCTAAGAAACTGGGGTTGGGGTCAGTCCTCCCCTGGGGTCAGTCCTCCCCCCCGCCCCCGCCTTCTTTCTTAATTTTCCGAGAAGTGGGTGTTAATTTGGGTAGAGGGGCGTTCGGTGGTTTCCGCAGGGGTGGTGCTCGGCCCTAGCTTGGGTACATTTCTTAAGACTTGGTATATGTCATTTTCTGGGGGATTTTGGCGAGGGTTTGAGGGGGGGTTTCCAGAGGACGCTTAAAGGAGAGCTAACATTGGTTAATTTGCAGATAGCTGGAATTGGAAAATGTTGCAAATAGTTATAGCAGCAAGGATGATTAACTCTCTGCAAAGACAATTTCTTAATACCAAGCAACTTACATTATATTTCTAAAGCCTTGCGGTTATTGTATTTCTAAAGCCTTGCGGTTATTATATTTCTAAAGCAGTTTCTTTAGTTTCCAACAGACTTTGTAATTCCCTCTCCCCCTCCCCTCCTCTGTTACTCCTTTTGCCTGGGGTTTGGCAGAGAATTGAGTTGTGCAGTACTGTTCAGGCTTTCAGGCCTTCTCTATTCTGCACAAAGGTCACCATCATGACAGTCTTTTGTTGGAGGTGTTTTGGGGCCTGTAGGCCCAGAACTTTGGTTATCGGAAAGAAGACCCCCTGTTCTGTTTCCCCACAGCAGTATTAGACTGGAATGTGTTACTGGCCGCCTCAACTCATTTTTTGATTTTTAGACAATTACAGAGGTGGTTGAAGCTGCTGGTTCTACTAACCAGATGCCAGGGGCTCACATGTCCTCCATTTCCCCCTTCCTGTTTTCTACTTCCCACTAAAATGAACAAGGTTCTGCCCATTGTCGCACAGAACATTCCTTGAGACGTTATTGATGGGATGTGGCATTCAGGAGTCATAGTGTTCTCTCCAAACAGAGAAATGCTGTCAAGTGAGTGTAAGGGCCCGCACACTCAGCCAAACAGCTTCACTGAAAATCCATTCCCCCCCCAAGCTACTCATCTCTTGTGCTAACACAATTTCACAGTGCCTCAGGCTGCCTGCAGGGGCACAAAGCTGACTGTCCAATTTAAACAACAAACAGGAAATAAAACCTGTTTTTTGACAAATCTTTCAGGCCATTATACATCATAAAGCAGCATAATAGGTCACAGGACTTTTTTTTTAATTTTAAAGATCACTTAATATTCAACAAACACCTACAAAATGTCATTAAACACAAAGTTGCAGCATCTGGAACTATTTGGATAGACAGCACTGGAGCAGCCTGTTCTATACAAGGTGCACACTTAGGACAATGGCATGTAGGGCATGCTCTTACCTCACTGTACAATTAATGAGACATGACTACTACAGACATCATCGCACACCTTACACCGCAGTGAATGAGGCAGAGAATAATAGAAGCCTTACCTTCTTCAGTGCACCTTCTAGCAGATTAATTCCGTCATATGCAGTGAGGTTAACCACACTTGCATGCTGAGTGCAACCTTTCTTTGTTTGGAATGTTGGTATTCCCAAAATACTGGAACTGCATAAAACAAGTCTAAAGCCTTCATCACATGGTCAAATCAAAACTTATTTTCACATGGACACTCAAAGGCCCTTCTTGTCAATGAGGATTAGTTTCCTGCCAAATTTAAACTTGCTACCCACAGACATTTTGGAGCAAGAGGTACTCAGATTAGTCCCTTTTTATTTTATCATAGGGAAGGTGTCCATTCCCCCAACCTCTCATTTAAAGTGGTTGAATTTGAAATATTTTTTGCACAAACTTTCAGAATAAATTCATTTTTGGATGAGATTGGGCCTTGAAAATTAGTCCAACGGGTTATGAACTGAACACTGTAATGGGGAAGGGGAGTTATAAATAGAAATGTTCACACAATCTTAATTATAGGTGGTGATGGTGCTTCAGCTACAACAATAGAAGTGGGCTATTGAGGTTCTGATCCCACTAAAAGTGATGACATCCCAAGACTTCAGCTTCAACACTTCTAGACTGGAAACATACCAGTGCATTAGGCCTTAAACAGCATCTACTAAAATCCACATTTGTGTAGACCCACAAACTTAACAGTAAAAATCCAAGCATTTTGCAGATTCACAGAAATTCTTTATGAATGCAAGTGCTAGAACATCTGGACTCAGGAGCAACCAGGAATATTGGTGATGACTAAGGGATGTGGATGCCTGCTGTCTCTCTCTGGAATCAGTAGCATTTCAGATACTCTCATTCATATATTTAAACTTACACTTCTAGTCTAGAGCTTTGTTTCTCATCTCTGTTTGCCATACAGTAATTGTTACCATGTGCAGCTCTGCTGCCTTGAGCAACTTCTCATTGTGTTTTCTTTTTCTTTCCCCTTGTTCAAGCCTAACTATGGGACAGCTTTATGAGAAGGAGAAGGATGAGGATGGATTCTTATACGTGGCCTACAGTGGAGAAAACACATTTGGCTTCTGAATGCTGGGGTCTGGCTGCTGCATCATCCCGCTATGTATCTTGTAAATAGCCAATTGTTTTCAGTTATGACACCCACAGAGGTTTCTCCCATACACATCATGCATTTGTAACTGGATTAATTTCCTAATATATTGATAGGTCTTGTTTTATTAGACTGGTAAATTATCAGAGTTTTTCGGGTTTTTTTCCTTTATTGTGTATTGTCCTCATGGCTATAAGTTCCCAGAGCCTCACCCCTCTGGAACACATATTTAATGACATTGTTTATATATTGACGCAAAGTAGTTGGGCTACTAAAACATGAAAAAGAGGAACATGCATTTATTCTGGATTTAGTTTGAGGTGTTAGCTTGACAAGAATTAAAATATTAATTATTCTTAGGAACACTGGCTTCACTAGGTTATTCTGAGCAGTAGCAAGATGCTTATCATATTGAACTAAGTTAATGTTCCTCTTTCTGAATTCTATTAAGGAATAACTACAATAAAAATTCCTCCCACACACATGTTGTTATGTGGCCAATGTCCTTTCTTGACCTTAATTTTGGCCGGCAAGATTCTACAGCGAGGGAGCACACTGATGCACATAAAAGGAGGAAACAAGGATCTGTCCTTGGGGACCAAACCACCATGGCTGGAGCAGCCAGTCCTCATTAGGAGAGGAGCCAAGAGTTGCCAATGGGACCCAGCTCTCAGTCCAAGGATGCTGGGGAGGAGGGAACTGGATAATGGGATTGTGCATATGGGGAAGGGCTGACAGTCAAGATACTGGACAACACATGCAAGGGCAGAAGAGGACCAGGCAGCAAAGGAGTGGGAGAGAATAATACACTAGGTAGGAGATGGAGATTAAATTAAGAGCAAAAAGAGACAGTAGGACTAATTTTTTCAAAATCAATAATTGCATAGAAGACAGTTAAATATATAAACTCTATTCCAGGTAAGCAATTGCTGCTGATATTGCATGACTCTGAATGGGAAGGAACATATTCCCAAGACAATCCTTCTGTTCTTTTAAGTAGAAGAGGTCCAGATTGGAATTAGCAGAGATGGAGCAGGCCGGGGCAAACATAGGTGAGAGAAAGTTATATACTCTTACGAGAAGTTTCAGTCCCGCAGTGGTTTTCAACTTATTTACCATTGTAGGCCACGTCCAATACTACGTGTATGGCCCTGAGGATGTCACATGGGCTGCAGCTCTGTGCTTATTGGGCTGCAAGCGACCTGCGGGGGACAGGTTGAGAACCACTGCTCTACTTCATGAAAATTAAAAGTCACTCCAAATTCATGATTGGAAAATAGGTATAGTCACATCACAACCCTCAACGGGTACATCTGTACAGCAGCTTGGAGCTATAAGTCCCAGCTTGGGCAGCCATACACACGATTGAGCTAGCATACTAAAAATAGCAACGTAGGCGTGGTGGCTCAGGCTAGTCACCTAAGTACAATCATGTCCACGGTCCTAGGTATGTACTTGGGTGGCTAGCTCAAGCTGCCACCTGTACCACTGTGGCCACACTGCTATTTTTAGCTCACAAGCTCAACCAAGCAGTGCATGTATGGCTACCTGAGCTGTGAATTACACCTTCCAGCTGTGCTGTAGACGTACTCTAAAGCAGGGGTGAAAGTGGGTGGGTACGGTGTACTGGTAAGAAGCCGGTACCGGCCCGTACCCAGCCAACGTTAAAGTGCTGCCACAGTGCTTTAAGATCATTGCCCCTTTTGCGCCTCCCCCGCCCCCCAGGCCACTGACCCAGGGAGAGTTGGGGGGAAAGGGAAGCTGCCCCAGGGCTGTTGATTTAAAAGGGGCTGGGGCTCCTGGCTACTGCCGCCGCTACCACAGCAGCAGCTGGAGCCCCGGGCCCTTTTAAATTGCCACTGGAGCCCCAGGCGGTGCAGGCCAGGCAGCACAGATGGGCTGGCTGGGGGAGGCTGACCCCAGCTCTGCCACTTCTGCCCGAGGCCCCACCCCTTCCAGAGGCCCAGAGCTGGGCCTCCATACCGGTAAGAATTTAATATTACTTTCACCCCTGCTCTAAATGTAAACAGGCTCTGAGACAAGTAAGTGGGGTTGAAATAGTTTTGATCTTCACTTTCTCTTTACAATGGTGCACAAGGGCCTTGGGGAACCAGGACTGAATCACAGCACTGGCCTTCGGCAATCAGGGCCCACCCTTTGCGCAAACCCAGAACAAACGGAATTAATCATGCAATAAGCTTTCAACTTCCTCATCACTGGGTTCACACTGCTACACTGCTTCTATATACTCAGGCTACACAGGGTAGAACAAGGAGAATGTGTGCTGCCAAGTAAAGAGGAGAAAGCCTCTCGTTATGTGCCGGGGCGCTCATGCTATAATGGGTAGGGCAGATAGCTACATGGCAAGAATTGAGTTATTGGAGAATTGGCATCTCTCTTAATATAGTATAGTAGGAAATCACTAACCATAATACTTCAGGCTGCAAACAGAACCCTGATTTTTTTTTTTTTTTAACACTATGGTGCTAGTGAGGGGTTTTTTTTGTTTGTTTGTTTTTAAATGTGCCAGGGTCAACGTGGCGGTTATCATGGTGAGCCTACTGCTGAATTTACACACGTTGAAGCTTCCAGGAGCTTACACTATATCTAAAGTTATGTTTGGCTTTAAAAGTCACATTTACTGGTGCTATCTTTCTTTTGTTGGGAAGAGGCAGGAGCTTGCGAAATGTTGATAGTGGACTGTTACTAAAGCTGGTTTCAATAGTGTAGCATGTGCTCCCTGCATCTGAAAAAGTGCTCTTAATCAATAAGCCTTTCATTAATTTAGTGCTGCAGCAGTTAAGGTCCTGTCATCATTTCCATTGTGAACCCTCTTTTTTCATGAGTTAACACTCATCTATGTTTGTTTTGGGCAGAAACTTGCATAGCAAGTCTCTACCTGGAGGGACTTTCTGGCCCTGGTTTTCAAAACTTGGAAGGAAGGCAATAGGATTAGCTGCTTTTTTTGTCTCCTTTACCATTAAAAAGGAGCTTTGTATCCTTTAAAGTGAAACACTGCACCATTTGTCCATAGGCAAAACTAGCCTCTGGCTGGTTAGGACATAAATTGAAGCAGCTGATTATATAATTCAGAACCATGATTCACTGGTTTATCACTTAGCCGTCCTTGAAAATTTTAAATACACCCTAGTAATACAGAGGCGCAGCTACCCAAACCTTGAAAGGAACAAGCTTTAACCACAATAGCATGACAGGCTGAAATGACTTTGGAATTTCCTTCATGAATATCTGAAAAACAAGTGATGACTTTATTTCTTCTAACATTAGCTCACAGATTACTGGCCAGTCTAGACTCAGCAGCCCGGAGTCATGAGGAAAGAACTGCACAAGAAAGACTGCAGCAAAGGAATGAGAAAGGGCTCCATAAAGGTCTTTTTATATTGTATCAAGAGGTGGATACATGTAGGTTGGCAGCATAACAGAGCGAACGATTTTTCTTACTGCACATCCCTGCTTTTGGTAGAACCATTCTCACTTATAGAATGGAAAAAAGTGACTGAGCCAGGATGTTTGGCTCCCACATGACTCCTTCCCCCACCCCATTCCCTCTTTTTTTTAAACCCTTCAGTATTGGCAGTGGCAGCTCAGCCTATGCACTGGAGAACGCAGAAAGGGTGTAAAACAAGAACTTTTTCAGGGACTTCTTGTAACCCCCATCCCCTCCCTCATGCCTGGAGCTCTTCTCTCCACCCTGTTCGCCCCTTTGCCAGGGTCTCCCCTACCAGGAACTGTGCTCGCCTCTATTCCCTACTTCCCCCATTCTCCCCTGCCACCAGGGGTTGTCCCTTCTCCTCATGTTACATGCACTGTATACACCCCCTTCCCTGGGTTCCCTATGCCCCCCTGAGGTTGTATGCACCCCCCCAATTCCCCAACATGCCAGGGGCTCTGTGTGCACACATTCCATTCCTTCCCCCCACTTATTCTCCATTCTTTCCTTTCTGTTTCAGGATGTCAACATTTTAAACTGTATTGGCAGGCTAGACAGTACTGAGGGTGCTGTTATGGGGAAATGTCTTCATGGTTCTCTCTGGTTGTGAGCTATAGCCAATTACAGAGAAGCGTTAAGCTGATAGCTCTGTTAACCAGATGCCACGAGACTGTCCCCCTCCCCTTTTTCACCAAAATCAGTAGGGATCTATCCCCCAGCCTCAACAATTACTTAACATTTTGGAGCTGATCGGATGTGATGTTCAACCCTTTTTTCTCATGAAAGAGAGAAATGCCATTAAATTGAGTGACAAAGGATATGAGGGAATACCTTTTATTAGACCAACTTCTGTTGGTGAAAGAAACGAGCTTGCAAAGTTCCTCTCTCACCAACAGAAGTTGGTCTAAAAAAAGGTATTCCCTCACCCCCCTTGTCTCTCTAATATCCTGGGACCAACATTCCTGCAACAACACTGCAAACATTAAATTGTGTGTAAGGCCTCACAAGCTCAGCCAAGGAGTCTTTCAAGTGCTGTTTTGTTTGGTGTTTTAATTCTTGCCTTCTGGCGTGGGTTCACTAACAGCTCATCTAGGCTGCAGCATGTCTGACGCTCTCATTGTCCCCATCCCAAAAGGTTCATGACACTGGGCAGAAGCCCCAAAGCTGCTGGCTCCCCCGCCACGCCTTAGGAGAAGCAGGCACACTAGCTCATTGTACAAAGGCACAGGGAAAGCTTAGGAAAGAGTTAAAAAAAACCTACGTCTCCCAACGGCTGATCTAAAAGCTAGACTGGCTGCAGTACAACTAGCCTTATACAACTTGTTCTAACATTACAGCTGGAGAGGAAATGGAAACATTCCAGTCTGGTTTGCAAGTTCACTGGAGACCTTGTTTATGAATAACAAAGGGGGAAACAAGCACATTCAGAAGATCTGGTTTACGCTGGCTACATGGAATCTCACAAGACTTTAGGAAAGGGAGGAGGTAATGAGTTTGAAAATGTACTGGTTTGTTTTATATTAGTGTATTATAGTGCACTAACTGCTAAGACCTGCTGCTTCTCCATCTCAAGCAACCATACCCTCTTCCTAGATGCTTCACATTCCTGCAGTTCACCCCAACCCCAAAATATACTGGGATCTGGCTTGACCTCCAGCTGCTGGTTCCTCACACAAGTTCTAGATATCAGCTTCTTTACCCCTACACTAGCTCAGTTCTTTCAAGAGGGGCTGGGATGTTGATGCTGGCTATGAAAAGTGTGGGAGGAGACAGATTAGACTCAGGCTGTCTCCTCCTCCAGGAAACCATAATTTAGCCACTGTGTGAACCAAAAGGATTGTCAAGGAAGGCAATAGGCTTAGCTCCATTTCTCCCTCCTATGCATTAGAGCAGGATACAGCTGCCATCGCTCTGCCCAATGTTTTTGTAAAATGTAGGCTACAGCAGGACAGACGTCTGAGAGAACAGTGGCTCTTGGGTGATTATATAATCTCAGTCTTGGACTTAAGGAAGAAAATATGTCCATGTCAGGGCCGGCTCCAGGCACCAGCTTCTCAAGCAGGTGCTTGGGGCGGCCGTTCCGGACAGGGGCGGCAGTTCCAGGTATTCGGCGGCAATTCGGCGGACGGTCCCTCACTCCGCCTGGGAGTGAAGGACCTCCCGCCGAATTGCCGCCGCAGATCGCAATCGCGGCTTTTTTTAGATCGCGACTTTTTTTTTTTGGTTTTGGCTGCTTGGGGTGGCCAAAACCCTGGAGCCGGCCCTGGTCCATGTGAACTGTCAACTGCCCAGATGGAAGAATCTGGGTAGACCACACAACACTTCTAGTTTGACTAGGACATTTTCCAACAGTCTTAGACTGTTCTGCCATGCTGATGTCATCTAATAATAGTTTGCTTAGACCCATCTATTAAAGCAAAGCCTGTCAGGGACTGTATACTGCTACCAGAAGCCTCTCCAGCTTCTACCAGGCTCAGTTAACACATGGCATAAGCCAAATGGTAACATTATAACATGAGGCCCTTACTGATACAACCAAGATCTGTTTTCCCAAGGAGAAATGGTGAATAAAAGGCTTGGGTGTCTCAGTGTTAGTATTTCTGTCATGTATCTGTTGGCTTAGACTTCATAGTGTCTTATCTCACTGAAAATTGTTTTTAATGGAAATGTGGCATCCTTTCTGCTCTCTGATTCAGATTTTTTTTAAAAACCTTCCCCACTGTAAAATGCAGAGGCTTTTATGGAACGATCTGGATATAAAAAAATAAAATGACTAATTAAAAGCCCCATTTTTACCCAACTCATCAAATTATCTCTCATCAGTAGGGTGACTAGATACCTTGGTCCTCTGGGATTGGTCTTGGTCTTGGCTTGGAGGTATGAGAGAACAGATAGTGCCAAGCCAACAGGTTTGGGTGCTGTATCTTTTCTACAGCAGAACAAAAGGCTGGCATGTCACCCCTTCCTACTTTCATCTCCCTTGTCAAAGATATCAGAGTTTGTAGTAGATGGATCAGGAGTTCACCTACTCATATGCTGTGATAAATGAAGGGGGGGGTAGCTCCCTATTATGGACACCCACCCAGCCAGCTAGCTATAAAATCCCTCGGAGTAGCTGTTCTCTACCTGTAAAGGTTAAAAAGTCCACAGGTAAAAAGAAAGGAGTGGGCATCTGACCAAAAGAGCCAGTGGGATGGCTAGAACTTTTAAAAATTGAAACAAGACTCCCCTTTGTTGTCTGTGGTTGTTCTCCGGAGAGAGGAGACACACAGCTGCAATGCTATAAGCTGCTTTAAGCCAGGTATGAGAAATCATCAGATCATACCTATAATTACTTATTTGAACCCCCCCAAATATGTAAGTAGATCAGAAAATGTCTACAAAGATGTGATTAGGGTTATTTCCTTTATTTCTGTAAGGCTTGGGGAATCTTCTCTGTGCTAACCACAAATGCTTTTGTTTGCTTGTAACTTTTAAGCTGAACCCCCAAGAAAGCTATTTTGGGTGCTTAATTTTTGGAAGTGCTCTTTTAAAATCTAGCAAAAGCCTAAGTTCGAGATGTGTTTTTTTCTTTTTTGTTTTTAATAAAATTTACCTTTTTTAAGAACAGAATTGGATCTTTGGTGTCCTAAGAGGTCTGTGCATATGCTGTTTAATTAGCTAGTGGCAACAGCTAATTTCCTTTGTTTTCTTTTTCAGCTCTTCCCCAGGGGGGAGAAAGGGCTTGAGAGTACCTCACAGGGAGGAATTCCCAAGTGCTCCTTGCTGGATCAAGGGGGTTTTTGCATTTGGGTGGTGGCAGCATTTACCAAGCCAAGGTCAGAGAAAAGCTGTAACCTTGGGAGTGTAATACAAGCCTGGAATGGCACGTATTAATTTTTAAAATCCTTGCAGGCCCCCACCTTCTGCACTCAAAGTGCCAGAGTGGGGATTCAGCCTTGACATATGCCATGGTAAATACAGCTCAGAAGTGACCACCCAAGACCACTGGGGTCTAATTTATATTTCATAAAGAATGACAAACAAGCAGCCATAACAAGTTCCCTTTTCTATCCCCCTCCCTCAGGCTCAGATTTTTAAAGGTATTGAGGTGTTGCTGTGCTCAGCCTAAATCCCACGCTCCCTTGGAAAATGGGATTTAGTCTCCTAAATCAGTGAGGCATTGCAATGACTCAAATCCCTTTAAACAGCTGGGCCTTAGAGACAAGGTCCTGGCTTCAACTGACAGCCAGAATTTGGCCCACATTCTAAAGTAACATCTCCCACTCTGTGTCTGAAGGCTCCATCAATGCTGGGCTCACACAGCTGCCATTTTATGTAAACTGCAGGTAATCCTTGGTATTCTTGACCCAGGCTCCTAGGGCCTGGCTACGCAGCACTTTCCAAGCTTCTTGATAGTTTGCTGCAGCTTCCTTGTACTCCCAGTAGGTCTCCAACTTCTTCTCCCTGATAGGAAATGCACCACAACAATGGACAGATTTCAGTTTTCTTATTAACAGGAGGTTAACCTTTCATTTTTGAACAAACACCCAACCCTGTGAGAGGTCAGTCTGCACTGCACTGACTGCTCTTCCTGACACACTTGGCAAACAGGCAGGCATATAAATACTAATCTGCAAGAGTTTTGTGGGAATAAATGGAAAGAGATGAAAAGGCCTACTGCCATTCTACCTCAGACCCATGGATCTAGCAGACAGACTAGGCCTCTACTGGCTAATTATACCCTTCTCCCTAAGATACAGTGTACTATTAGTGGTGGTACCACTGTGATGGCTGCATTTCAGAGGGCAGGAAGGGGATCCTTGGATATAATCTGTAATTCTGTAAAGTACTCAGCTACTTGGGAAAAAGCATTTTGTAAATTACAAAAAAGTAATTTTCCCTCTGTTGATACTCACACCTTCTTGCCAACTGTTGGGAATGGGCCACATCCACTCTGACTGGATTGGCCTCGTTAGCACTGACCCCCCCATTTGGTAAGGCAACTCCCATCTTTTCATGTGCTGTAATATATATATGTGCCTACTGTATTTTTCACTCCATGCATCTGATGAACTGGGTTTTAGCCCACAAAAGCTTATGCCCAAATGTGTTAATCTCTGAGGTGCCACAAGGACTCCTCGTTGTTTATGTAAATCAGTGTTATATGAGAAATGCTCACATGATTGGCAGGCAGGAAAAGAGATTATCTATTCTCCTGCAGCCCCAGGCAAATCTCTGAAAAAATCTGACACATTAGCACGTGCATGTATTCAACACCTACTCTTCTCCACAACACAAAAGCCACACCTTTGATCCATTATTCAGTTTCAAACTTTACTTTCAAGTCTTCATCCATACTTGAGATCACAAATCTAGTTAGTAAAGGTAACTGTGTTAACAATGTACTAGGACATAGTACCACAAGGACATTCTGATTAAAAAATTAGAACTATACTAAATAAACGCAATGTACATAAGTGGATTCAAAACTGGCTGACAGACCTTCAAAACGTAATTGTTAATGGGGAATTGCCCTCAAATTGGGGAGCATCCAATAGAGTCCCCCAGGGATCTGGTTTTGGGCCTGTTTATCTAATATCGTTATCAATGCTCTGGAAGAAAATATAAAATCATTGCTAGTACAGGTGATAGACTGCTGAAGCAATAAATAATGATGAAGACAGAGCAGTCATACAGAATGATCTCGACTGCTTGGTAAGATGGACCCATTCAAACAAAATGCAAGGTCATGAATCTAGGGACAAAAAATGCAGGCCATACCTACAGACTGGGGGAACTATACTCTGGAAAGAAGTGACAGTGTGAGAGTGCAGGAGTACTATGCTTGTTAACTTCAGCTAAGCTTCTCCCTCCTCTTGCATTTGTGCTTCTGTTTAAATGAAAGTTTACAAGCAAGTCTTAAAAAATTTACCCAGACCTACTAGCCAAAGGACTAAGCCCGCCAGCCATGATGAAAGATACCTATGCTGCCATATCTCCAAGGCCTCATACCCTGCAATTTAAAGGAATTAGTAATCAGAGTCCCTGAAGCAAACAAGCTCTCCACAGGAGATGTGTTGCAATTAAATACAGTGTGCATACAGATCCCCCAGGCGAGAGGCGGAGAGGGGAAGAGAAAGGAGAGTACAGTTGAAGAGATAGGTGAACCAGGATGGCATGGAGTCCCAAAGTCCAAGAAGTAGATGCTGTTAGGGAGGAGGGACTGATCAATCATCATAAGTAGCAGAAAGACCTGGGAACAGACAAGGGACCCATGGACTTGGCCCAGAGAAGGCAGTTGGTGACTTTGGAAAAAGATGTGTCAATAGAGTAAAGGGGGCAGCTTGCAAGGGATCAAGAAGAGAATCAGAGAAATGAAGGCAGGAACTTAGGAGGCAAAGTGGGGAGGAGGAAGAGAAGATGGACTGATGGCTGTAAGGAAGTGGAGTCTTGGGAGCGTTAGGTAGGGGATACCAGAATGCACTTGAACGCAGAAGAAAAGGCGTTGGTGAGGCAGACAGACGGGATCGGTGAGAAAGGCAGTAAACAAATGAGAGTGAGGAGGGACGGTTTGACAGCTTGGAAATCAATAGAAAAAGTCCACTCTGAATCAGAGCCCAGAGCGAAGGAAGAGAATATGTTGTGAAGGTGGCATGAAGGGGAAGCGGAGGGGGAATAGCCGTTTGAAGTTACCTGCTATAGTGTTTTGGTTGGTAGCAGGAAAGCAGCAGGGCAGGCTGAGTGGAGAGCTAGGTCCCCCTGCTGTACACACTAAGCTTGCATAGCCTGTATCAGAGACACTCGTATCTGTGTGTCTGCTGAACTGTGCCACAAGGAGAAGTCCAGAGACAGAAAATGACAAAGGACAAAAATGCCACAGGAAATTACAAAACCACAGGAATCCTGAAAAGGTTTGAGGTGAAAGAGTGTTATGTAACCACCACATAGCCAGCCTTCCAATCACGCAGCAGCACGCCCTCAATGCACCACACAAACCCAGCTCCTACCATCCCAGTTATGAAGTCACGTTGGACAAACAACTGAAGTAGAGATCCCCATTCAATGCTGTGGCTAAAAGGGCAAATCCTTGGATGTTTAAAACATGTATATATCCAGCAGAAGTCGGGAGGTGGTATTGCCTCTCTCAACTCAAATAATGTTTCCACTTTTCATGTCCACACTTCAAAAAGATGTTGAAAAACTAGAGAGGGCTCAGAGGAGGAACAAAAATGATTCAAGGTCTAAAAAAAAAAAAAATCCCAGGAAGAGATTTAAAGACTTCAATCTGTTCAGCTCATCAAATAGAAGGTTATGGGACAACTTGATCACAGTCTAGAAGTATCTACATGGGGAGAAGATTTTTCAGGGATCTTTGAGCCTTCTGACAAAAGCATAAATGAGATCCAATAGGGGGAAGTTGAAAAATCCTAACTGGAAATAAGACTTCTTTCCCAACAGTTGGAATATTTAACCTTTGGAACAGATAAACAATGGATGTGATAGCTTCATCATCACTTGGAATCTTGAAATCAAGATTAGAGGTCTCTTTCTAACATATATGATCTAGAGTTCAACCAGAAGTTATAGGTTTGATGCAGCAGTGGTGGACGGAGTTCTATGGCCTGTGGTATTATATGCAGGTCAGACTAGATGATCCGAATGGTCCCTTCTGGCCTAAAAACTTATGCATTGCTTTCTTTAGTAACATAATGAAATTCCCACTAGGTAAGAGCTGCTGCTTTTAGTAAAAGTCTCTATACACAAAGCAAATACAGCACAGGAAGCAGACATGCAAGCTGTTCACATGGCCCCCACTCCCCATGGGCCTTCGCTGTGACCTGAAGGGAGAAGCTTTTAACCCTTGACTTCTCTCTGCTGACACTAGTGCCTTTACTGGCAATTAGTAACAGCTACAACAGTGGGTTTTGTGATGTGGACACCTGTGCACTAGGGAATACACTGAGACCCACCTAATCATTTCGCAGATACCAAACAGTGGTTAATTATCACCACTGGTTTCTGTCTGTGCCAACACTGGCTGGATTTTAATCCGACTGTTTCTCATCCTTGCTCACCTGAACTAGCAAGTCCCCCGCAAAAGGACAGTTACCTGTTCCGTAACTGGCGAGATGTGTTGCTGAGGTGTATTCCACTATAGGTGAGCGTGCTCGCCACGTGCACCGGTGCCGGAAGTTTTTCCCTTAGCAGTATCCGTAGAGGGGGAGCACCACTGCGACCCCTGGAGTGGCGCCTCTATATCGCGCCATAAAGGGGGCTGCGTGCTCCCCCCACCCTCAGTTCCTTCTTGCCAGACAACTCCGACAGAGGGGAAGGAGGGCGGGACGTGGAATACACCTGAGCAACACATCTCGAAGAACACCAGTTACGGAACAGGTAACTGTCCTTTCTTCTTCGAGTGATTGCTCATGTGTATTCCACTATAGGTGACTCCAAGCTACACCTGATGGAGGTGGGTAGGAGTTTTAAGTTTTAAGATTTAAGGGTTACCCGGGCAGAACACCGCCCTACCAAACCCTGCGTCATCCCGCGTCTGGGAGATGATCACATATGCGAGGAGAAGGTGTGGACAGAGGACCACGTAGCAGCCCTACATATGTCCTGAATAGGGACGTGAGCCACATAGGCAGCCGACGAGGCCTGAGCTCTCATCGAATGAGCCTTCACTATAGGAGGCAGGGGAACCCCTGCTAGGTCGTAACAGGTGCGAATGCACAAGGTGATCCAGCGGGAAATCCACTGGGTGGAGACCGGACACCCCCTCATGTGCTCGGCCGATGCAATAAACAGCTGGGGGGATTTCCTAAATGGCCTGGTTCTATCTAGGTAGAAGGCCAGCGCTCTGCGCACGTCTAACATGTGCAGGTGGCGTTCCTCATTAGAGGAATGGGGCTTAGGGCAGAGGATCGGGAGGAAAATATCCTGATCCATGTGAAAAGCCGAGACTACCTTCGGCAAAAAAGCTGGGTGAGGGCACAGCTGAACCTTGTCCTTATGGAAAACCATATACGGTGGTTCAGAGGTCAGGGCCCTGAGCTCTGAGACCCGGCGGGCTGAGGTGATAGCCACTAAGAACGCCACTTTCCGCGATAAGTGGGACCATGAACATGTGGCTAAAGGCTCGAAAGGAGGCCCTGTGAGGTGGGAGAGCACTAGGTTCAGGTCCCAGAGCGGAACCGGGGGTCTGGCGTAAGGGAATGCCCGATCTAACCCTTTTAGAAACCGGGACGTCATGTGATGTGAAAACACCGAAAGGCCCTGCACCGGGGGGTGGAAAGCCGAAATGGCCGCCAGGTGCACCCTGATCGAGGAGGGCGCCAGCCCTTGGGTCCTAAGGGACAGGAGGTAATCGAGGACGAGCTGGATAGATGCGGAAGAGGGAGAGGAACCTCTATCCCTCGCCCACATAGAGAACCGATACCATTTGGCCAGGTAGGTTCGACATGTGGAGGGTTTCCTACTCTCCAGTAGGACCCTTCTCACATCCTCAGAACATCTCCCTTCCTCCTCATTCAACCACGGAGCAGCCACGCTGTCAAGTGGAGCGGGGCCAGGTTGGGGTGGAGGAGACGACCTTCGTCCTGGGAGAGGAGGTCTGGGCGGAGCGGCAGCCTGCAAGGGGGGGGCCGCTAAGAGTTGCAGTAGGGTCCCGTACCAACGTTGACGGGCCCAGTCCAGGGCTATGAGGATAATCCTCGCCCCGTCTGACTTCACCTTCTGTAGGACCCTGTCTATTGGGGGAAGGGCGGGAAGGCGTACAACAGGGGCCCTGACCATGGGAGCAGGAATGCATCTGATATTGCCCCGTCGCCCTCTCCCGCCCTGGAACAGAACCGGGGACACAGGCGATTCTGGGCGGTGGTGAACAAGTCTACCTGGGGAGTACCCCACTGTAGGAAGATCCACCTGGCCACCTCCCTGTGCAGGGACCACTCGTGATGTTGGGAGAAAACCCTGCTCAGGCGGTCCGCGAGCGTGTTGCTCTTGCTGGGCAGGTAAAAGGCCTGCAGGAGGATGTTGTGGGCTATACAGAACTCCCACAGGAGCTGGGCTTCCTGGCATAAGGCCCGGGAACGCGTGCCCCCCTGCTTGTTGACGTAATACATGGCAGTCGTGTTGTCCGTGAGGACTCTGACCACCCTCCCTTGTATGTGCTGGCGAAATGCCACGCACGCCAGGCGCCACAGCCCTGAGCTCCCTGACATTTATGTGCAGGGTCAGTTCCTTGGGTGACCACATACCCTGGGTCCTGAAGCCCCCAACATGGGCTCCCCATCTCAGGTCTGAGGCATCCAACACTAGATCTAGTGAGGGAGGGGGCTCTCGGAAGGGAATACCCTGAAGCATGTTCCTCGGGAGGGACCACCATTGCAGGTCTGCCACCACCGTTGGTGGCACCATGACCACCTTGTCCAGGCCATCCCTGGCCTGGGAGTAACGGGAGGCCAACCAGAGCTGAAGGGGCCTCATCCTACCCCTGGCATGTCACACCACAGAGGTGCATGCTGCCATATGGCCTAGGATTTGAAGGCACACCCGTGCCGTAGTTACCGGAAAGGCCATGACCGAGGCGATGAGAGCTTTGAGCATCTCGAATCTGTCCCGTGGGAGGGAGGCCGTGGCCACCCGGGAATCTAACAGTGCTCCTATGAAGTTTATGCCCTGAACTGGGGCTAACGTGGATTTCTCCTCGTTTACCACTAGGCCTAGAGCTGCACAGGTGTTTAGCAGGAAGTTCATCTGCTCCTGCACCTGAGACTGAGACTTGCCCTTGAGCAGCCAGTCGTCGAGGTACGGGAAGATCTGCAGCCCTTTCCTCCTGAGGTGGGCCGCCACCACCGCCATACACTTTGTAAAGACCCTGGGGGCAGTAGAAAGGCCAAAGGGGAGGACCGTAAACTGGTAGTGGTCCTGCCCCACCAGGAAACGGAGGAAGCGCCTGTGACCCTCGAAAATGTGGGTGTGAAAATACGCATCCTGGAGGTCCAGAGCCGTAAACCAATCCCCCGGGTCTAGGGATGGAATAATAGAGGCCAGGGACACCATGCGGAATTTGCAACGAACCAGGAACTGGTTGAGATTCCGCAGATCAAGGATGGACCGGAGCCCGCCCTTTGCCTTCGGGATGAGGAAATACCTGGAGTAAAATCCCTTGCCCTGGAATTCCCGAGGTACCCTCTTCCACAGCTCCAAGGGAGAGGAGGCGCTCTACCTCCTGGCCTAGAAGGAGGGCATGCTCCGGGTCCCCGGCCGGCTCCCGGGACAGAGGATGGTGGGGAGGGGGCAAAACGAACTGCAACCTGTACCCTTGGGAGATGGTGCTGAGGACCCATCGATCCGACGTTATACGGGACCATTGCTGTCGGAAGGCAGATAAACGGTTGGCAAAACTCAACTTTATTAACTGGGGGGGGGGGGTTCCCTGGCAACAGGCCCGGTGACCCCCCGCAACGAGTCAAAAACGCCTCTTCCCTGGCCTCTTGCCCTTCGAGGGGCCAGGCCGTGGGGCCGAACGGGATTGGCTTTGGGATCGACGCCTCTGCTCCCTCTGCCTTTTAGGCGGGGGCTCATATCTGCCCCGAGCCGGAGGAGTGGAGATTTGAGGCCTGGGCTTATCCTTGGTGGGCGGGATAGCGTCTGCAGGGTGGTGCGGGAATCCTTCATCCCATGCAGACGCATGTCTGTCTGGTTCGCGAACAGGGCCCTCCTGTCAAATGGCAGGTCCTGCATGATGGACTGGGACTCCACGGACAGCCCCGACAGCGAGAGCCACGACGCCCTCCGCATGGAGATGGCCGAAGCCATCGAACGGGCCGCTGTGTCCGCCGAATCAGAAGCTGCCTGGAGAGCTGCTTTGGCCGCCGCCGCACCCTCGTCAACCAAGGCCCGGAACTCCTTCCTGTCCTTGTCCTGAAGGAGGGGTTCAAACTTTGGGAGGGACCCCCACAGATTAAAATCATAGCGGCTCAGTAGCGCCTGGTGGTTAGCCACTCTGAGCTGGAAACTCGCCGAGGAATAAACCTTTTTTCCAAAGTTATCAAGTCTCCGAGCGTCCTTGTCCTTGAGTATGGGCGCGGGCTGGCCATGCCGCTCACGGTGGTGAACGGACTCTACCACCAGAGAGTTCAGAGCCGGGTGGGTATAGAGGTATTCGTCCCCCTTTGCGGGCACAAAATACTTCCCCTCGGCCTTCTTAGAAATGGGCCCCAGAGAGGCCGGGGTCTGCCAAAGGCCAGTGGAAATATTGACCACCCCTTGGTGCAGAGGAAGGGCCACACGGCCCGGTGCCGAAGAGGTCAGGACATTGAATAAAGTATCCAAGGACTCCTCCATCTCCTCAGCCTGGAGCTGGAGGTTCGACGCCACCCTTCTAAGTAGCTCCTGGTGAGCCTTAAAGTCCTCCTGAGAGACGAGAGGTGGCACCGCAATGGACTCGTCCGACGCCGAGGAGGCAGCTGGGACGGTGCCTTCAACGTCCGGTGGCACCGGCGGCTCGAACTCTGGACCCGGGCCCGGGGTCGGTGCCGGTGGTTCGGTGCCCGCGACCTGGTCACGGTGCCGAGCCGGAGATGCCAAGTGGGCGTGAGAGGCTCCAGCCACGGAGCGGGGTCTTGGCGGTGCGGGTGCTTGGGGCCACGGTGCCCACTGGCACCATTGTCCTTGCCAGGGAACCCCCTGCCACTGAGACGCGTGGGGGCCCAGCAGAGCCGCTTGGTCCTGCGGTGCAGAGCGGCCCGGAGAAGGGCGGCTGGGCGCCGACGCCGAGGTCCTGGACGACTGCACGGTGCCGTACGATCAACTGGAACGGTCCCGGTCATAACGTCTCCTGCCCCGAGATTTTGACCTCGATGACGAGGCCAGGTAGATCTCCAAGGAGCTGTCTCTCAACTCCCTTCGGCGACCGTGGCTACGATGCCGCGGTGCCGGGGACTCCCGGGACGCACTCCGAGCGTGGCGTCTATCGCGGCGGGTGCTGGCGTAAGAATGCTGGTGCCGTTGGCGCCGAGACCTGTTCCTCTCACTCTGGCTCAAAGAGGAGCAGCGTCGCCTCTTGTCCCGGCGTCTACAGTCCCTGCGATCAGAGGAGTCAAACTCACTCCCAGAAGACCCGGCCCGCAGGGTGGAAGTGTGTCGCGGGCTTCGGGCCGGCCCTTCAACTCGGGAAGGCACCTCGATCTCTGACACATCCGGGGTGGGCTGATGTGCGCCCAAGGGCGGCTTCCCTCGGGACTGGGGGCCCAACTGAAGTGGCGCTCCCGGCACTGGTAGGGCTAAGATGTCACGCGCGGCTTGGGCTGCCTCTGGCATCGAAGGCATCCGCACTTTGGGAGACGCTTGCGCGGATGGGACCGGACTACTCCACTCAGCCCGAGTTGGAGGTCTAGGTCCCGACGGGGATTGTGGGCTGCCCAGCTCGGGTCTGGCCTCACCCCGTTCTTTCTCCCGGCGCCGCTGAGTCTTTCCCTGCTTCTTAGCTAGGGATGGTGCCGACTAGTAGACGGTGCCTCACTACGCACCGAAGACGCGGTGCCCGGCGTGGGGTCGGGTCGACGCGCCGGTGCCAGGGCTAGTGCTGACTTCATCAGAAGTGCCCGGAGTCGGATCTCACGCTCTCATTTTGTCTGGGGCTTGAAAGAGCGGCAGATTTTGCAACGCTCACTAATGTGAGCCTCGCCCAGACAGCAAAGACACTGGGAGTGCAGATCGCTTCTGGGCACAGAATTGCGACAAGAGTCGCACGACTTGAAGCCTGGACCATGGGGCATGCCCCGAGCCAGGCTAAGAACTAGAGAAAGTGTTCACACTCGAACTGGATACCACTAAGGATAGAAGCACTGCAGCCAAAGCTGGAGCAGAAGTTCCGACTACCTTCACTGGCGGCAAGAAGGAACCGAGGGTGGGGGGAGCACGCAGCCCCCTTTATGGCGCGATATAGAGGCGCCACTCCAGGGGTCGCAGCGGTGCTCCCCCACTACGGGTACTGCTAAGAGGAAAACTTCCGGCACCAGTGCACGTGGCGAGCACGCACACCTATAGTGGAATACACATGAGCAATCACTCGAAGAACTTTTTCATATCATGGTCTCACTTGAATACAAGAGGTACCATTACTGCTAACTCCAATTGGGTAACAGATGTAAGAAAGCACATACTGCATTTGCCAATATCCAAATGTTGTAGCCTTAAAAAGTCAAATTTTAATGCTGATCCCAGCAGAAATAAAATTTCATTATATTGGCAGCCTCTGGTTTCATCAGAGCCATTTTAGGATCTGTTGAGATTCTCCTTATAACCAATCAGAAAGAGTAATTCCTCACCTGAGAGATTCTGGCAGATTCTCCTGTGAAATACTAGCCACCAGCCTTTGGAATACATGGAAAAGTTCCACCTTACAGATCCGGGACCTAATAGGAAGAGGAAACTGAATTCAAATCATCAGCTGTAGGATAAATAAAACAGCAGTTTTGCTGTGGACACCTGTCTCATTAGGCCTACAGCAATGATAGATAATTTGCTCCTTCCCTCAATTATAAATGCTTTGCCTAGAATAATCTTACAAATGACTAGCCACCTCCCAGAGTCTTGTACATCTAGAATTGCTCTCAGGGAGAAGAAGAGGATGACACAAGAAAGGAACTTTTAAACAAATGCACTTTTGTTTGTTTGTAAAACCTTAAAGAGTTTTGCAAATGAGGTTGATATGTTGGAGCAAATGGTCCCCTGCTTCCATTCTATGCCTTGTGGAGGTGACAGTAACTAACTTCACTTACTGGAAAAGTCTGGTTAGTTATAAACACTATCTTGTATGAATTTTTTTACGGCGTTTACAAAGTTATTCCCTGTTCAAACCACAAAATGGTGGTAATTTTATAAATATTTAGAAAGAGGCCATAAAGATAAAATACAACTACAATTAACAGTTCTGTAGGTTTCTGAGATAATTTAGAATTGGTTTTCTAATTATAGTTTTAAATTTTCAAATAATGAGTTTGCTAGAGAAGTGAAAGGAGTGAAATGATGAGAAAGGAAGGGTCATGGAAAGCCAAAAGGGAGAGGTAATCATTCACAGAATCGCCGTAGAACAGCCGTAGGCTAGTGTACCCTGACAAAGACAGCAGTGGGATACTACAGAAAAGTGAATCAGAATTTTGTATCAGGAGCATTTTCTGGCCTCTCTCTTTCTGGCTGTGTTCAGCAGTGGCATGGGAATCTGGAATGGTATGCTTACCTTTACAATTCACATTAGCACAGCCCAGACAAAGACCCTTTGTTAATTTCTTGAATGATGTAAAGGGATCCGTAATGATTTAACTTCTGCTGCTCCATCCGAGCTCCCCACTCTCCTTTCCCTTCACTTGAAGTGATACACTGATAAAGAGCTACATTGTCCAAGAAGCAAGCTGTAAAGCCATCCTAGCCAGTACTATGTCAGACTGCAGAGGGGACATTTCAGTATACCCACAGCGTCCTGTGCAAGAGACTGTGCCCCTGCCAGCCCACATCCATCTCAGAGACAAGGGGCTCAGCACCAAACATCAAGCAAGAGAACAACCCACAAGACTTTGACAGAACTGCCAACAATTACATTATTTATCATGAATAAAAACCCTCAATAAGACAGATGGGGACAAAGGGGAAGGGGATAAAAATCCTGCCCTGCCTCACAGGGATGCCAGGCAGACACACTCATTACTGGCTGCGAGGCACTCGGACGGTATAGTGGTGCGACATCAAAAGGCCCATCAGTAAATAAGGAAAGTGAGTGCCATTTGAAAATGATGATTTATAAGGAAGGCCTAGAAGGTGGAGTTTGTTAAATAGGTTTTTTCCTGACAATTTTTTAACCTTAGAAATAGCAGGAATATCAAGTCTTCTCTTCCCTGTTTTTGCTAGAAGACTTTTTGGAGAACCCAGGAAAGTAGAATGGGGAATGCCTTCAGCCTTAAATGAATGCTTAGAATATTGAGCCTTTAACAAAGATATTTTATTCTGTTTAGTGGTTTGGTTAATTTTTATTAACAAAAGCCAAAAAAAAAAAAAAAAAAAAAAAAAAAAAAAAAAGACTGTATAAAACTGCTTCCTCCTTCAGTTAATCAGGTTTCACTTCCTTGCTATCTGTTATGTCGTAATCCTAAATGCCATAAAGAGCCAATTATATAATTTTAGCAATAATAGTGATCCATAAAGTCTTCCAGGAAAAACAGTAGACAAGACATGAATTTTTAATGTAACAAACTAAGCCTTTACGTTAGAAAATAAACTTTTGAGCTTTAGTCACAAAGAAAGAAAAGGGTATACACCCCTTTGCAGGTCAATCAACACTGGATTTTTTTTTTCAAATGTGTTAAATTAGTGCAAATGAAGAGAGTCCTACTTAGCCACAGAACAGATATAGTATGGAGCACAGTCTTGTAAGCTTCCCTCACACCATCCATCAGCTCACCCGTTCAGGATGAGAGGTTAATTCAACCTCCATAGTCCATTCAGTTCTTGGCCTCTCTGGTCTGACTTTATTGCAATTATATAAAGTGCACTTATCCACAGTTCTAGGAGCAGGTATTATTATTTAACATGTTTATTACGGCAGTGCCTAAGGGCCCACCAAGAACAGGACCAGGCGCTGTACAAATACAGAGTAGCAGACAGTCCCTGCCCTGAAGAACTTACAGTGTAACTAGACCAGACAGACACAGGGTGGGGGAAGGAATAGAACACACCAGCAGAGTGAGCAATGTGATGACAACAAACAGCATGCTAGTTCCACTTTTGGGGAGGAACGGGGAGGAAGGCAGATGGGGGGCTACTTAAGAGGAGATAAGCTAAAGGGAAGGGGAATGAGGGGGACAGGGCAGGGGAGAAGAGGGTCAGATGTAGAGTGAAGATGAGGTGAGGAGACTGAGGGAGGGATGGAACAAGCAGCCAATCAGCACAGAGCAGGAAGAGTCCAATGAAAATTGCAGAAAGATCTAAGGATCCATAGGTCCAAAAGGTTCCTGGTTCTGCTCCCATGGGCTAGTGTCTCTGGCTGGTACCTCTCACTGTACAAACAAACAATTTGTACAAAATGTACAAACAATGTACAAAAATACTTACAAAAATCAAATAGGATCATCTATATTAATTAATATTCTCCCAAATACCACACTTAAGTTATAAAGCTCTTGGTCCTCCTGTTCCTAGAGAGGAGCTGGAAACATTGTACAGTGGGCTTTTAATAAAGGTAAACAGCAGTTCTAAGTCAAGGAGATTTTTCTCCTACTCTCCTTCCGTAAGACTAAATCTAGGATTCTCCTCCCCATCACCTCGCTCACTACTGCTCAGTTCCCAGCTGATTGGAAAACAGACAGGCCATGCAAGGCACCAGTTAATGGACTGGTGATGTGGACACCTGACTACAGTACCAGAACACGGCCAAGACCGCCAACTATTTTCCCATTTATCTGCCTGGTGGGTTTTGCCTACATGCTCAGGGTCTAACTGATCACGATATTTGGGATCAGGAAGGAATTTTCCTTCAGGTCAGATTGGCTGAGACCCTGGGGGCTTTTCAACTTCCTCTGCAGCCTCAGTCAGAGGTCATGTGCAGGTTTAAACTAGTGTAAATGGTGAATTCTCTATAACTTTAAGTCTTTAAACCATGATTTGAAGACTTCAGTAACTCGGTTAGAAGTCTATTTCAGGCGTGGGTGAGGTTCTGTGGCCTGCACTGTACAGGAGGTCAGACTAGATTATCATGATGGTCCCTTCTAACCTTAAAGTCTATGAGTCTACTTTCAAACAGGCTACTGAACAAGCTACAACTTTTGGTCATCACTCACCTGAACTGGAATTGAACCAGCAACCCACAGGCAAAAGTCTCTATATCCCATCATCAATTCTGAGCTATCACATCCCACCTTATCAGCATTTTCGATATGTCAATCCCCAGACACGTTCATATTACAGAAACCAGCAGTCTCGTCCACAGTAGTGCAATTTTTCAGAAGTTTTTCGAAGAGACATTATTAAGGGCACAAGAGCAAACTATCACACTGCATAGGAAAGATAGGAAGTATGGCAAGAGACCAACCTGGCTTAACCAGGAGATCTTCAATGATCTAAAACTCAAAAAGAGTCCTACAAAAAGTGGAAACTCAGTCAAATTACAAAGGATGAATATAAACAAACAACACAAGTATGTAGGGACAAAATTAAAAAAGCCAAGGAACAAAACGAGATCAAACTAGCTAGGGACATAAAAGGAAACAAGAAAACGTTCTACAAATACATTAGAATCAAGAGGAAGACCAAGGACAGAGTAGGCCTGATACTCAATGAGGGAGAAAAGACAATAACAGAAAATGTGGAAATGGCAGAGGGGCTTAATGACTTCTTTGTTTCGGTTTTCACCAAGAAGGGTGGTGGCAATTGGTCATCTAACATGGTGACTCCCAGTGAAAATGAGGTAGGATCAGAGTCTAAAATACGGAAAGAACAAGTCAAAAATTACTTAGACAAGTTAGATGTCTTCAAATCACCAGGGCCTGATGAAATGCATCCTAGAATACTCAAGGAGCTGACTGAGGAGATATCTGAGCCATTAGCAATTATCTTTGAAAAGTCATGGAAGATGGGAGACATTCCAGAAGACTGGAAAAGGGCAAATATAGTGCCTATCTATAAAAAGGGAAACAAAGACAACCCGGGGAATTACAGACCAGTCAGTTTAACTTCTGTACCCGTGTCAAACCAACCTGATAGCTTTCTTTGACAGGGTAACAAGCCTTGTAGATAGGGGTGAAGCGGTAGATGTGGTATATCTTGACTTTAGTAAGGTTTTTGATACTGACTCGCATGACCTTCTCATAAACAAACAAAGGAAATACAACCTAGATTCAGTTACTATAAGGTGGGTGCAAAACTGGTTGGAAAATCGTTCCCAGAGAGTAATCATCAGTGGTTCACAGACATGCTGGAAGGGCATAATGAGTGGGGTCCCACGGGGATCGGTTCTGGGTCCGGTTCTGTTCAATCTCTTCATCAATGATTTAGATAATGGCATACAGAGTACACTTATAAAGTCTGCGGATGATACCAAGCTGGGAGGGATTGCAAGTGCTTTGGAGGATAGGATTAAAATTCAAAATGATCTGGACAAACTGGAGAAATGGTCTGAAGTAAATAGGATAAATTTAATAAGGACAAATGCAAAGTACTCCACTTAGGAAGGAACAATCAGTTGCACACATACAAAATGGAAAATGACTGCCTAGGTAGGAGTACTGCAGAAAGGGATCTGGGGGTCATAGTGGATCACAAGCTAAATATGAGTCAACAGTGTAATGCTGTTGCAAAAAAAGCAAACATAATTCTGGGATGTGTTAGCAGGAGTATTGTAAGCAAGACACAAGAAGTAATTCTTCCACTCTACTCCACGCTGATTAGGCCTCAACTGGAGTATTGTGTCCAATTCTGGGTGCCACATTTCAGGAAATATATGGAGAAATTGGAGAAAGTCCACAGAAGAGCAACAAAAATGATTAAAGGTCTAGAAAACATGACCTATGAGGGAAGATTGAAAAAACTGGGTTTGTTTAGTCTGGAAAAGAGAAGACTGAGAGGGGACATGATAACAGTTTTCAAATACATAAATGGTTGTTACAAGGAGAGGGAGAAAAATTGTTGTTCTTAACCTCTGAGGATAGGACAAGAAGCAATGGGCTTAAATTGCAGCAAGGGCAGTTTAGATTGGACATTAGGAAAAACTTCCTAACTGTGAGAGTGGTTAAGCACTGGAATAAATGGCCTAGGGAGGCTGTGGGATCTCCATCATTGGGGATTTTTAAGAGCAGGTTGGACAAACACCTGTCAGGGATGGTCTAGATAATACTTAGTCCTGCCTTGAGTGCAGGGGACTGGACTAGATGACCTCTCGAGATCCCTTCCAGTTCTATGATTCTGGGATAATACCATAGGAAATTTTTCATTCCAAACTGGCCAGGACAGGACAAAACAGCAATCTCTTCTAAAAAGTACAGCTTTGAGGACAGAGGCCAGCTTCCATTTTTGACATGTTAATGACCACAGAAGAGCAAGTGTCATAGGAAAAAGTAAGACAGAAGTGCTAGAAATAAACCACAAGTGTTCCAGCTTCCAATAAAGTCATTACACTTCACACAAAGCAGGCAGAAATAAGATTTGCAGCCTGCAAGGGAAAACACACATCTCAAATAAGTGCAACCAAAGAAATCAATTACTCCAACAATAAACGAAGCACTGGAACAATCCTCACCGAAAAGGGGGTGGCCACATGTGAAAATTCTATCAAATAACAGGCTCATCTCCTACCCAATAACCAGGATGGAGGCCACTGCCTTCTGCTAGGCAGAGAATGACAATTTAGTCTACATCATCAACAAAAGATTCTGGTTTCATTTAAAAATATCTCCCCTTGCTTTAATTATTAGAAAAATTCTATTAGGCAAAGGTAACAAGAAACATCCCAGTGAAGGGGCTAAGCCTATAAACACACAGATTCAACCTGCCCCGCCCCTACTCTCTATTCTGTGCAGTAGGAGCATGGTCTGGGATGGAACAAACGTGGGGATTTCTTCCCCATCGCATTACCCCCTAATGATGCCTGCAGTCCCTACACACCACACTCTATGTCAAAGTAAAACAGAGAGGGGAACATACATTGATAAGGATACACTCCCAGAGGGACATCACAAGCCCTTACTACTACCACACCTGGTCTGGCGACTTCCGATTCCTTTCTTTGTTGTTCCCTGCTTGAAGCCATTTGAGGTGACATCTAGAGGTTGCTCAGGGACAGCACTCCAGCTGATAGCTGGGGAAAAAAAGATCATGAACAAGGAGATTCTCAGCAGAAAATCACAACTCTCAATACTGCAAAACAAAAGGGTTTGTGATAACAATATACCACTACCCAGACTAATTCAGGTAAACTTAAATGAACATGCCACTAGCATTGTAATCTTTCCAGTCCCATCAGGGATGAGTCTGGAGTTTCATATAGAAACATTTTGATTAAACATTCCTTCCCTTCCCAATAACCCACTAGACTCCTGAAACAGACAAAAAATTAGAGATGGCAAAGACCAATCAAGTCATCTAGGGGCAGATTTTCAAAGGTATATAAGAACCTAAAGATGCTGACAGGCACCTAGTGGGATTTTCAGAAGCATCTATTTACATCTTTAGACACCTAAATACCTTTAACACCTGGCCCGTAGTCTCTCTTCTCCACAAGGCAGGAGAGTTCCCTTCAATACATTCTGTCATGTTTTGGCCAAACATATTTTAAGTGACCCAGACAACAAGGCTTCCCCTTGCTTTGCTTGAGATATTAGATTGCGGAATATTCCATCTCATGGCAAAAGTTTTGCATACTAGTCAGCTTATACTCTTGCTGCTGCCTCCCCCCACCCTAAACAATCCCTCAACCTTTTTCACACTTATACATTTCAAGTATCGGTAGACATATCCTTAAAAGTTATATCAGAAATTAGCGAATGAATAAAGGCTCAGTAGAAGAGCAGGGAAGAGCTGATATTTATCTATCCCTCTCCCCTATACTTTGTCTGTTTCTACTCATCTTAGATTGTAAGGTCTCTGGTACCAGGACTATATATTCTTATACGGGTTGAAAGTGCCTAGCACTGTGTGAGTGCTATTGTAATATAAATACATAAAAAACACTAACAATAATGTACCCAATTTATCATTGCATAGACTAACTACAGCTCCTTTATTCTCTCCTTACAAATCTCTACAGCCTCATGATAAGTTATTTTTGTTCGTCTCTGAATTCCCTCTTTTTTTCGGTCTTCCTGGTAACATGGCACAGGTGCAGTTGTATCAAGCAGCATATGGAGAACCCACTGCCGTTCAGCTCCATGATGCAATGCCTCTGTGGGAGCAGCTCAAAAGTGCAGTGGTTTTTTAGCTGCTGTATTGCACTGCAAAAAATTCTAGTCTGATTTGTAGTCCACTCCCACCTTGGGTCTCTTTCAGCATTATTGCCTCTAAGGTTCCTCTTGTACCTGTGTTTCAGATTATCTTTTCCCAGATGAATCAGCTGCATTTTTCCAAGAGAAATCTCATTTTGTTATTTCCTGGAAATGTTTCTAATCTCTCTCTGTTTTAGTTATTTCAAGTCCTTATCACCACAGTAGCTAAATATATTCCTCATTGGCATTTGCAATATCCTCCAATTTAGTGAATGTTATTAATATACTGTTTCTTTCCCATTCTACCCTACCAATGAAGTTGCTAAATAAGATCAGTCCTAACACAGAAATCTTTGGCAACCAAATGGCCAGAGGTGGTTTGTACAGTGCTGGCATGTCTTCAGCCCGTGAAGGACCTATTGCCACACCCAGAGTCTCTTTTCAGGTCAGTTTTATTTTCTAAACACAAGTAAAAAACAAAACAGTTCCCCAGCCCACGCTTGGCTACAGCTCCCAGGGGATTTTCCCTTTGCTTATCTCAGTCCCTCCTGCAGGATTCTTCCTTGCTCTTTTAACTGACCACCACCTCCCAGGGCTTGCCCCTCTCCCCTAACTCCGAAAAGGTTCCCCACTGCCTCCCCTCCCAACAGACTCTCTGCTGTGCTCCCACTTCCTTACTGACAACCTCTCTCTTTATAGCCCCAGATGCTGCCCTGCCCTCTTAACTGGCCAAACTGGGAGCACCTGGACCTGCTTATTTAAGCACTCATCCAACCTGTGACATGGCTATTATTCTGTTTACAATCCTTCCACCAGTTTTCTTCATGTGTCAGTATTCCTAGACACATCTCCATTAAACATTCCAAGTCAATTTTCAGCTAAGCCAGAGAAGTACATGGTAGCAGATGGTACATGTGTATCCCACAGATGGAGAGAAACTGCATATTACACATGTGGTGGTGACATCCATGTAATACTTTGCAAAGGCATGAAAATAAACTGTGAAACCACGCAATGACCTGCTTAACTCACTCACTGCCACTGATAAATAAGGCAGACATCCCAGACTCATGCCAATAAAACTTTTACATCATACTATTTTGTACTCTCTCTCTATATATATATAGGAATCGCTAGCTGGTGTGGATCTGATCCAGTATGGCAACTCCTGCATTCCTACACCAACGAGAATGCATAACTAACTGAAACAAGGACATAGTCTTATTGATGTAAATTCCTCAGGGCACTGACCAAGTCTTTTACACATTCTGTGAAGTGTCTTCAGCACACTTCAGGAGCAGTATGAATAATTTAATATTAATCATAATTACTAATGATGATGAAGTCTTGGCATAAAAGCGGTCTCTTGCTACATAAAACCCTAAAGAGATAATGCTTCAGGAAAAATATACCAAAGTCATGCCATTTACTCTTTGGTCTCTGTAGGTATTTAAGGAATTGGTCCAAGTCACTCACCTGCACCACAAGGAACAAGCTTTGCTTTGCCATTAGCATGACCTGTCTGAATTGCATGGCGGCTATGTTTAAACTGAAGATTTGACTGCAACATTTTCACCTCCTGAACATGGAAACCATCAGGTAAAAATGAGATGTGCTGACACCTACAGTAGATATGGAGAAATGCAAGTCACTGAAAGTGATCCTTCAGCAGACTCCCAGTTATAATCCGGCAACCTCCACTTAATGAAACTGAAATGCTATGAAGTCAGAACAGATACAAGGAAATACTTTACCAAGCAACTTTTGTTTGATCTGTGGAACTCTGTGCCTCATGACATTGCTGAACCAAATAGCTTAGTAAAGCCTTATCTATAATAGAAAATTTCACCAATTTCATTTTAAAAGAGATCTAATTAAATTGGTGCAAACTCCTAATGTAGACAACTTAAGGTAAATCAAATAAGCAAGAGTTAAAAAGTTCAAATATGCACAATTTGCATCAGTTAGCTATCCTTGGAGACTAGGCATCCACCACTTGCATTGACAGACTATTCCACAATCTAATACAAACAACTTCCTAGTTAGGAGCTGTATCACATATTCTCGGAATAAAACCAGGAGTAATATAATTAAATTAAGAAAAGGACAAACCATATTCCTTATTTTAACATCTCTTATTTTGTAAGGTACAGAGCGAGTGAGGAAAGGTCTCCACCAGAATTCAGGCCTTGTGCATTTTGTAAATAAAATTATTTTCCTGGACTGTCTGGCATACACAGATTGGAACACAGTACCAGAAGAAACAATCTTAGATACATAGTATGTGTAAGTAAAAACTGTAGTATATTATATTATTCCTGCGGGAATTCTATGCCAAAAAAACAAAAATTCTGTGCACAATATTTTAAAATTCTGCAAATTTTATTTGTCAATAAATAAATGTAAAGGCTCCCGCATGATATGTGATCATCTAAGACTGTATCAGAATGCCGCTGCACAAAAAGGCAAAATTAAGGTAGCATAGCCAATCTTAATTTTGGCATTGCCAAACTTTTGAGAGCTTGATTTTACAACCTTAATGGTCTTCTAATGTATTTTTTTAATGACATTTCCTGGAGTTTGTAAAAAGAAAACTGAAGAAACAGAAATTTTATCATATAGAATTACACTGATCCCTGCATGGGCAATCAGCAGGTTCTGAACCCAGGACATTTAAATTCACAGCACAGACCTCTGCCAGGTAAATTAAAAGAGTAACTGATAGCAGTAGTATATTGTTATCCTTTATGTTTTAAAAGAAAATTTATATTTATAAATTTGGCCTTCCCTGGTTTTGCTGGAGAGCCACTGTGGAGGTTCGAGTATGAATCATGTGCTCTGATAGCTTAACTGAAGGGAATCTGGATGGGTCTGAACCAAACAAAAACCCTAAATGTTCAATGGTCTTAAGAGTTAAACAGGTATTAACAAAAGCATCTTAAACAGTTTTAAACAGTCTGACTAAAAATCTTTCCCTCTCAACTGCTGCAGCACTAAGTCATGTGTGACACAATGTCACTGGATCTACAGTCACCAGGGAATCTTCCTGGGTAGACAAGTCCTGAATTTCAAATGTCAAAAGCAAGTAGGAAAAAACAACAACTTTATTTTGATAAAATTCTTGCAGGACGTTCTTTGTACCTCATTAAAAAAAAAATGAAAACCCAATATCAATCTCAGTAGGTCCCCTTTAAGAAGGGGCCAGAGCGACAGATTTGAGAGTACTGGGAGCAATATCAGAAGAAAAGGAACCATTGTTGGGATTGTCTATAATGTGAAAAGGAAGAGAGGAGAGAGAGAGCAGGGATCGAAGAGAAAAGGAGGTCATTTTCTTGAGGGACTGCATGATGATAGGGGGATTAGGATCAGATCAAAGGATTAAGAACAGCAAGAGTTAGAAACCCGAGAAGTGTTTCCTGGAGAACATCAAATTCTCATTATTGATTCATCAGGAGCAGTCACCTTCCCTCCAAGCCACACATGGCTGCTTTATCACTTTGATCTCTCTGCTGATTGTCTGACTGAGCACTGCAAACTTTCTAATACCCATGTCCCTACACCACACTGACAGGCATTGCTCTCCATGACTCAGTCTTGGTACACTCTTCCTGGTCTTCTATGGATCAAGTACCTTTCAATAACTGCTCTCCGCATGACCACTTGGCTATATGGGCATTTCCCCAGTACAACCGCTGAGAAATACACCGGGTGCTGTAGGAAATGCATCAGGAGGGCTCCTTGACAGCCCAGTACATTCCAGCGAGCTAGTTTATCACTGCAGGACATGGAGCAGGTCCTGTCTCCACGGCCTGGCTTCACTCGTAGTAACCCAACATGATGATATTCTACCCCAGGTCTCCGAGCATCATCCCTCTCTCCCAGCACACACTTTGCTCCGGTTCTATAAACATCCATCACTTTGGCTCCTATTAGTCCGGTCTCCTTAGCACACGTTAAGATCTCTCTTTGTCCATCTGTAATAAATTCAGAGCGGCTGGTATCTGTGTCTTGTATGTTTTGTTGATTGCCAGGAACATACTGAGCAGCTATTCTCTCAGTGACCTCACATGTAGAATCACTGATGACAGTTTTCATTCTCTTGGTCACATGATCACTTGCAGTTTCCTCTGTTTTCCTTTTATTTTCTGGACCCAAAGGATCATGGTTGCCACTGCAATCTGCTGAATGCCTTGTTGGATCTTTTCTACTAACCAGCTCACAAGGCTGGTCCTCTGGTTTGGTCATTGGAATAATGGAGGCATCTCCACCTAGAAGAAAGGAAGTTACATTAGCACTGGCCTAGAAAGAGACTTCTGCTTCTCCTTGCCATTTAATGCAGACCCCTTCATAGATAAGGCAACCACCACGTGTTTTTAAAGGTTTGAACAAAAAAACAAAACAAAAAAAAAGTACCTGAAGTACCAGGGAGAATAACCTCTTCAAATGACACTGCACTGTACACCTCTACCCCGATATAAAGCGACCCGATATAACATGAATTTGGATATAACGCGGTAAAGCAGCGCTCTGGGGGGCGGGGCTGCGCACTCTGGCGGATCAAAGCAAGTTCGATATAACGCGGTTTCACCTATAACGCGGTAAGATTTTTTGGCTCCCGAGGACAGCGTTATATCGGGGTAGAGGTGTACTTTAATTAGACTTGAACGAGAATTCAGACATGGTTTACATTTAATTCAAGGAGCCCTCACACTCCTCCATCAATGGACCTCACCCCTATCCTGAAGGAACCAACTCTGTTTCACGAGGTAAGAACCAAATTCAGGTTCCATATGCGTTCAGTCAGTGGGTACCTTCACTGTTCCATTAATTGACATGCAAAAAACTTTGTTAACCTGGAGTAAAGATTGCAGATGTTCACTATTTCCCTGTACTTCTCGTACCCTTCCACGATGGGAGATTTTCAGTTCCCAAAACTCAGCTGTTGACCAACCAGGAAATGAGGATTACAGTCCCCTTACAAGAAGATTAACATTACAAGAAACAAAACACAAAGGTTGGAAAGAGTTGGGACAAAGCTTTTGAAAATCTCACTCTAAAACTAACTACTCTAAGAAGTTAGCTGAAGTAATGAAAACACTAAGTTTCCTGTTAACACCAATGAGGAAAATATAACTTTCTTACTGAGCAATCTAGAACTCTGCAGAGGAAAGAGGAACAGGTGGAGTCATTTGTGGCAAGGACGTGGCTAGAATCAACTATCATGTTGAGGGGAATAGATGGAGTTGTGAACTGTTTGGGTGTTTCTGTTTGATAGAATATAGAAATTTCTGGAAGGTGGGCAGGATAGCTGATAAGATGACTATATTTAACTAAGCAACAGAGGGTCCTGTGGCACCTTTAAGACTAACAGAAGTATTGGGAGCATAAGCTTTCGTGGGTAAGAACCTCACTTCTTCAGATGCAAGAGCATCTGTTTTCATTCTCTTGGTCACATGATGCTCTTGCATCTGAAGAAGTGAGGTTCTTACCCACGAAAGCTTA